TTGTCGTTAAGAACTCTGGAGTTTTAAATACACAGTTACCAGATTTTCTTAAAACTGTTCACTGACACCAAGGATGAGTCTAGTTATGTCATCAGAAAAATATTTGCTTAGTCTAGAGATAAGAATTTTAAGGTAAAAACTGATGTAGTTTTCCAGATTTTTTTTATTCCTAATGAAAGATAAATACGTCTTTCTCTTTTAAAGGCTTAATTTATATAAGCAGAGAAGGAACAAAGCCAACAAATTGCTAAAGCCTGGAAAGAGAGCTTTTAATTTTCCATGGTAATTCATCTCTTCTCTGTTAAATTATGATCACTGAAACTAAGATAACATCAGGATTTTAGGTACTGAAAGAGTTTGGATGGCTTATTATGTGTTAACGATAGATCGATAAAGTATGCCTCAAGCCTATCATAATCTCATCATAAGTGAATTAAAGTCTGACTAATTCAAATAATACCTTGTGATTGAGGTGATTTCCATTTTTGAGAGAAGGAATTAGTCAAAATTAATAAGTGGCTAGGAACAAAGCGCTGAAATAAATAAGGAACTCTGTCCAAATTTGGTTTGGAATATGTTTTTATTTATATTTTGTTCCTTCATACTTGATCCAGTCTCAGAGTCCTTAATTGGTACAATATTTAACTCTAAACACAATCCCGCAACTAGTTTAGAGTTTGCATTGGAGGATGCATTGACTTAAACCCTCTGTTATCACTGGTCTGTAACTTTCCTCAGAAATCATTTTGGACTAAAATTTCTAATGTTTGTTTTCATTCCCAGAGGCAAATTTTATTTTGTTTAAATGTGAAGGAAGCCATTCAGCTGTTTTATATTAACAATTAAAAAAAAAAAAGGAAAAGAAAATATATTTTACTGCTTAATTCTCAGATGAGGCTTTTGTGCCCAGATAAATGCATTGGATGAAGAAATTCACACTTGGCAAGAATTAAAATCCTTGCAGTGGAATTGTCTCTTCATTACTTCAGTAAAATTTATACTCAGGTTTAATGAATGTGAACTTTGAAAAAATATAAACTTCTCTGCACTCAAGTTCTTTCACATTACATTTTACTGACGAGCACGGTTCTCCTGGAGATGTTCCAAAAGTACAATGTGTCTAGGTATCCTTTACTTACTAGAAGTGGATTTACCAGGATCGAGAAGCAGTTGATATATTGATGTAGTAATAATAGAGTTAACCCCAGGCCAACTCCCTGCTCAGCTTCCCAGATTTAATCTCATGTTAGTATTTTACACATCTTAAGCATATCTTCTTCCTTTATTTTTATTACCGTTTTATATGCTTCGGGGTTAGACAAACCTGGGTTGCAATTCCCAGTTCTCTTTTTTTCTGTGTATATGACATTATGCCTCCTAATCTTTCTTAGCCTCAGTTTTCTCATCTATTTAGTGGGAATAATAAAACTGCAGAATTGTTGAAAGGTTATCGGTAACGCACACAAAAACTTAACACTGGGCCAGACACCTATAGCAGATGCTCAATACATAGGACAGGCTAATATTACTATTTTTATCCACAATTTTTAATGTCTTTAATAATGAGGATCTTTTCAAACTCAAGCATTATATTTCAGTCAATTACACTAAATAAGCTCTTACTAAAAAAGTAATACAATATAGTAAAATGGAAGACTTAATTCAGGGCAGAATTAAATTATTTGCAAATTAATATTAGATGTTAGACAATTACAGGACATTCCTTGGAAATTGCGGCATTTATCTTTGCTTGTTTTTCAGTTTTGTTTTGTTTTTGCTTAATATGAAGCAATTAAATCGATCTTTTACATTATAGGCTTGTATCTACTATTAATCAAAGATGCTTTTAAAACGTGTAGGTATTTATAATTTAAAATATCTGGGAAAGGTTCATTTAAATTATTGATACAGGTATATTTCTGCTTTTTTGGTTTGGGGGGTTCTTTTGTTTTTAGTAAACAATATCTCTATAATAACCCATTGGCATGCGAACAGAACTTTTATAAATTATCTCAGTTGGTGATCAAAACTTTCTGCACTGCCCTTCTGATATTCACTTGACAGATGAAAAAGCTAAGACCCTGAGAGGACAAGAAGCTTGCGCAGAGAGAAGAGCAAAACCTGTGACCCAGACAGATCTTCAAACTCCTAATTCACAGTTGTTTCCATCATTCCTTTTAGGGAGATATGGTTAGGAAAAGAAAATAAAAGGAGATGAAAAACAGAGGGGTTTAAGGTCTTAATGATTAACACCGTAGTTCACTTTTTTAAATCAAGAAGTCATCATTATAGCTTGTTTTAAAACCTTCAGTGGGTTCCCTTGGCCTACTGCCAAATTCAAATTTAGAAGGTATTTATCCGATCTCCTGCAATTCCCCCATATAAACCCCAAACCCCAACACAACAAAACTGCTTGAAAATTTCCTCCACATATTCCTAACCTTTTATATATCTATTATATTTTTACATCTATTATTCACTTAATTTATCAAATATCTATACAGTGCTTACTATGCTCTAGGCACTGTTGAAAGTGCTTCATAAATTTTAACTCAGTTAATCTCTGTCACAAACCCAGAAGATAAATAATAGTATCCCATTTTACAGATGGCAAAGTTGACACATAAAAACTGAGGAATAAAGCCAGGATTCCAGAAAGAGGATTCTGGTTTCAAAGTAGATACTTTTAACCACTACACTATGTTACATATACACTTGTAATTTCAAAATTGAAAGACATATCACATTCTGGCAACATTGATGTCTAAATGGCATACCACCAAAAGCCTCTGGGTTGTGTAACTCATTACCTTGTAAATGTACCATCAACTGGAGCCTCTCATCTTTTTAGACTCAGAAACCTGATATTTTTCAGCAATCACACCAAGAACAGATTCTTGTCTTGGAGGAAGACTCACAATGATTTGGCTCATGAGTTGAATGTTTCAAACTAGAATGCCGGTTTATTAACTTACAACTAAAAATAGAACTGTCTATCACATGGACCAGAATTCCCTCATCAGCATGACCAGCACACTCTGCCTCTTAACAGTTATGAGAAAACAGATCACCCTTAACAAGTTGTTTGGTCAACGTGGCATTATAACCAGGGATATTCTTGGGATGAGCCGAATTTTCATTGGCATCAGCTAGGTTAGCATAAGGCATCTACATCGTGATAGCAACAGCCCTACCAGTGGGACCTGGAGGACTTGAAGTTCATTGGGCCTTTACCTGGGACATTACTGGGCTGGGCACTGACAGCCATGTATCTCTGTCATTCTTCTCTTTTCTATGATTCTAATGCCTGGCCAGTCCTTTCTTACTGTTAATGCATATTAGTATAGTCAGTCTGGTTATGGTCAAGTGTTGAAGCCTGAGACCTTTCGATCTCTTCAAAATAGCCTTTGTGTAATTGTACTTTCAGATGACATTTTTTTAAGAACATTCTCAAGACCTAACACAAATACTATCTAGCATTTCTTACACCAAATTATATTTATGAGTGATTTTCTCAGTAGTGAAAACCAAGCCATATTCATTCTTCTTTGTATTCCCAGAGGTAAATGCATTGCCTAGTACATAATAGGAGTTCAGTGGATATTTGTTGAACAAACAAGTGAATTAAGAGGCAATAAAGCATCATGTTTATGAGTGTGAACTCTGAAGCCAGATGGCCAGGTTCAAATCTCAGCTCTATTGCTTAATGGTTGTGTGATTTTGGCAAGTTACTTAACCTCCCTCAGCTTCAGTTTTCTCATTTGTAAAATGGGTATAATGACAGCACTCTGTCTCCCGGGGTTCTTAAGAAGATAAATTAATACATATAACAAACTTTAAAAAGTACCTGGAATTCCATAGTATAATTATTCTCTCAGAATTTATTATATATTTACCTTTTTAAAAGTGCGACTTATTTTGAAGAAAGCATAGTACTCCTGTTCTTTTAAGTGTCATCAGTACATATTTAATCAAAAATTGTTATTGTTTACAAGACTTTAGTAAAGTGAAAACTCCCATGGTACAACCTTTATGGAATGTAATTTGGCACTTTTTATCAAGAGCTCATAAAAGTTCACTCCCTTTAGTCCAGTAATTCTTCTAGAAATTTATCTGTCCTAAAGACATAGAAATTTTGATAAATCATATGCATGGATATCTTTCATTACACTCTCATTTATCAAACCCCAAATTGGAAATTACTTAAATGACAAGTAATAGAAGAACGATTATATGAATTATATCATTCTTGGTGATATATTATGATGAAACATTCTTGATGAACTATTATGTAGCTCTCAAAATGATGTCTTTGAAATTGTATAATAGTGTGGGAAAATACCTCCAGAAAATTTAAGTGGAAAAAAACAAACTACGAAATTGTATAAGTGATGTGATTTCCTCCACACTGGAGGGAAATCAATAAATCAAAATAATAGTGATTATCTTTAGATGAGGCAACTATGAGGGATTTTTTTTTTTCTTTTAGGTAATCTTTTTTAAACCCTCTGTGATGAGCATGTATTTTAAAAATAAAAATAATTCTTTAAGAATTATTACTTTAAATCCTTAGATGTGTAATTTTATAAGGTATGTAGAATATTAAGCTCACTTTTAATAATATTCAAGAACTAAGTTTTTTCCATGAAATCTCTCTTCAGTTTTATACTAGAAATAATTAAGACAGGATTCATTTAATATTAATATCTTTCAGAAAAACTTGCATTAATATTTATTTGGTTAAATAAGAACTACAAGTACTTTTTTTGACAACTTTTAAAGCAAAAAGAATACTTAGTTTCAACCTTCATGGAGAAATCAATTTACAACTTTTTAGAATCTGCCCAATTTGATAGTAACTCCTCTAAGAACACACTCAGAAAAAAAGAAAGACTCTTATATGAGTCTTAAGAGAGAATTCTTTTCATAAGAAAATAGTTCAAATATAGAGTCTTTTATAGGTACTAATGGGGTGTTTTTATTTTCTTTTTATCACCTAGGAGCTGTGAGGGAAGAAATATTCGATATAGAACATGCAGTAACGTGGTAAGTACTGAAGTTCTGTGATTGTGATAATGTATTTTTTTAAGGACTGAATAATGCTAAGCATTTTTATGTATCCTGTGCAGCTATTAATCATCATTTCACGGAGTGATTTGTATCACTCTATACAAATTATGCATCATTAAAAAATAAGCATTTTTAATGTTCCTCGATATAAACTTTTACAAATTTTGCCAGATTGAAGCTAACTTGACTATTTCAAAACAAGGACTGTCTCTTTCCTCTCTGCTTCTGACTTTTTATATCTAAGTCTCTTGAGAACAAGTAAGAGGAATGATAAAAGGAACCCATTTGGGTATCATGAAATAGTGTTAGGTAATCAAACTCAGGTTTAACAAATTCATTCATTCATTCAACAAACACTATTCAATACCAACTAGTAGTAGATAAATAACATGTGGTCACGGTCTTAAAACATCTGTGATAGAGTAAGGGATATAAAGAGGGAAGATAGACGTGCACTCAGCCACATTCTAGGTCAAAATATGACAAATGCTGTAAGAAAGGGATAAAATTATTTATAGGTTAAAAACAGAAATTGGAAGGGTCTTTAAGGAAAAGGTGATTTGAGGTAGGGTTAAGAGATCTGGGAGGGCTGTGACCTGCCCTGATTGGGTGAGAAGGGGTAACATCCAGTCCAAGGGGAGGAGACATAAGGGACAACTTTGGAAGCAAGAATGTTTAAGGTATGCTCTGAACACTAATTTGGGTAGGATTGTGCTTAGCAGTATAGAAGAGAAGAATTAGAAGATATTTTGAGGTTACACCATGAACAGATTTGAATGTTACACTCTCAAGTTTATATTAGTTAAATGAATAATGGAGGCGGGGTGTTCACTAGACGTTTTGGAGCATGAGTATGATATTATAGAGTTTCACTTTAGGAAGTTTAATTCCATAATGATGTGAGGGATGTACTGGAACAGGAACTAGATGGGGAGCAAGAAGTAATGAGCGTTTGTTTAACCAGGAGGAAACAGATACAAGAGAGATGAAAATTAAGGTCACTGTAAGACTTAAGCCATTCAAATTAGAGTGATGAGTTAAAGTAGGAATAAAGAAAATAGACATGTACAAATTCAGAGCTCTCACGGAGCAACCAATCCTGCTGTTAGAGAAGCTCTTTCTTCAATATTCAATATTGATGGTCATTTTCCTTATTCCAGTCTCAACTCAGATGCCATCTCCTCAAACAGATTTTCTTGACCATTTTATCTGTGGTTGTCCATCCCTCACAGTAGTCTATCAATCACATTTTATTTTCCTTATAGCACTTACCTCTACCAAAATTTATCTTATTTAATTATTTGTTTGTTTTCTGTGTTTCCAGTCTAGAATGTAAATTCCATGAGGTTAGGAGCCTCATTCACCTTGCTCACTCCTGCATCCCCCGTGCTGACAACTGTTGACTTACGTATTGTAAGCATACAGTAGATATTTGCCAGATGCTAAATGAGTACCCAGGCTTCTGGAATGGAAAATGTCATTAGCAAAAGTGAGAAAGTTGGGAGGAGATTTTGGAGAAGAAAATAATATATTTGATTTAGAGACACAATTGAGTTGGACATGCAGGCCAGACTTGTAGGTGGTACAGTCAACTAGGCAATAGGGGTCTGATCTGAGGAAAGAGATTGGAGCTCAAGCCATAGGAACACAAAGTAAGAAATACAGAATTTGAAGATTTGGCAGGAGTGTGTTCAGTAGGATGTATAGGATGATGAGAGAAGGGAACATCAGAAATCGATGAACTTCTATATGCAGATAGAAAGAGAACATCGTGGCAGGTGAGCCCTCAAAGGCACCATGAGACAAGTAGAAGAAGAAACAAACTAGGATCCCTGAAGACCTTCAGTAGGATAAACGTTGCCAAGAGGTTAAAGTAGGAAAAAATACCCATGGAGGAGTAGTTTCTATAGTGTAGTAGGAACAAAATAGAGATCACAGTAGATAAAGAAATATATTCATAAGGAAATGGAATCAATATATATATGCTGTTCTTATAAAGTGTTAACAGAGGCATATCATTTGTGGAGTCATGAAGGGTATATGGGTTCTTTGTTTACAATGAGAGACTTTTGAGAGATGAGTTGATTTAAAGAGAGAGAGACCTTATGTGGAGATGAGGCTAGATATATTTGATGCCATAGGTCTCAAAGAAGATAGTGGGTGACAAGAAGAGGAATCTTGATAAAGAAAAAGGACATATACTTACTACATTCTTAGAAAACAGACAGAAATGGAGAAAGAAAAGATGAGGGTATAGAAAGATTTCTGAAGAGAAAATTTGAGACAGCCAATAAAGAATAGGCTCAAGCTTCTCTGCAGAGAAGTCTTCTAAGTCGTCTGCTGAAAGTGAAGGAAGTAAGTTGGATTTGCGAAAGTGAGCATAAAGGCCTAGAATGGGCACAGAGGAAATTGAGTGGAAGCTAACAAAGCAACATACAAGAATTGTTGGGCAGCAAAGAGGGCTAGGCTGAGGTTAGATAGCTTGATCTGACAGAAAGCATGGTCAGCAGAGTGTGAGGACTTAGTCTGGCAATCTGCACTGAAGCAGATTGAGAAAATAATAGGTAATAAAATAATAAAAGTAATAGAGAAAATGAACATCGGAAGTGACTCATGATCAGAATACAGATGAGGTGAAAGAGACTAAAACAAATGAAAAATACATATTTTAAAATGCTTGACCAGGGAGAGTTTCAGGAAGTAGAAGGCATGAGCACTGGAAATAAGAGTAAATTTTCAATGGAAAATTTTGCCAAGTTTATTGCCCTATTTTCATTTAGGGCAGTAGGTGCCAGATAACACAATTTATATAATTGCCTTCTTCACTACACACACACCTCACTGAACTGTGGACCGATGAAAAAGATCGAATAGCTATAGGGCTTTTTATCTTTTAAATTTTTATTTATTTTTTTAATCAGAGAAATGATTTAAATTTTTTCTTTTTCTTTTTTTTAATTTTTAAAAAAGAGTATTCACCAAATATGTTTTAGAAATGTTATAAAATTTTTTTCAGTGGAAATGTACTTTGACTCATTGATTTTTTTTACTATCCATTTTATTGTAATATCCTATATATCAGTTTAGAAAAAAGAAAACACCATAATGTTATTAAAGAATCTCCTTACCTTCTACTTTTTTTTTCTTTCCAGGTTTTAAAATAGTGGAGAGAGTCTAAACTCCTTTAAGTATATGAATGCCTAAAGCATCATGAGCAGATGTCTACCTACCCTTTCCTTAAAGCTCTTCAGAAAAAGCCCACAATTTTCTCACCATCATTATGAGTGTTTTCAGGGACAAATGCAAGCTAAGGCTCTGACCTAATATGACTTAGAATCCATAGCATTTCACGAGCCAACTCTTTATGGCTTGTGGAATCAAAATGACACTGAGTTTTTTATGAGAACCTAGTCTTCAAATAATTTGAAGCTTTTTTTTTAAAATCTGGCTGTTGGCCATGACAGAAGCAACATTGCCAAAAAAAAAAAATCTCATAAGAAAGGATATTTTCATAATCACATTCCAATTCTTCAAACTAAGAAGTTCAAAAAAATTTAGTTAAATATTCCTCTTTTAGATACTTGTTGTAGAAAAACTCGTGGGTCTCTGGTTATCTAAACCTCCAGGGTCACTCCTTAATCCTTGGACAGCTTCCTAGGGCTCTTCTGAACTGCTTCGTTTCCAAAGATTCACACTTTTTAAATTCTTTGTAGAGCTGCTACATACAACATTTCTTTGGATTCTTGTTCTCTAAGGCAAAGGAGGGGAAAATATCTCTTCAGTTTCCCAATTTTTCTGGCTTGCCTGAAAAATTAGTTTATATATTTTTAAATTTTTATTGTTAATCACTCTATAGACAGAGTGTACCCATATAAGAAAGTTAAGGTTCTTATAATGTTTGCATAGTAGTCATCACAGCGAGGATACCTTTTTTATACTATTTCTAGCTGGTCCAAGTAGACTATTTTCATTCTTAAGGACATAGTTCATCCAACTTTTCCCATTTTACAGTTCCTGTTTTTTTCCTACTGAAGTTGCAAGGCTCTCTCTCTCTATCTCTGGAAGGAAAGACTAAAGATTCTGTTGGGAAAAACAGGTGTGAACTAGCAAACAAATCAAGTGAGTCATTTAGGTCTCAGAGATCCCTGGGGCCTCTCAAAAAGGTCTCCTTTGTCACATCTTCATGTTTATTCATATTAAATCTCTAATCTTAACCCCTCAATCTTAAATGAGAATTTTAAATTGACTTCCAAAATATTTAGCCCAGTGCTCTTACTCATAAGCTGTTGTTTTGATCACTATCCTTAATCTTTACAAGACTGGAGATTTAGGGGACAGTGACCACAATTAGCAGCATAATAGGCCAAGGTGCCTGTGGTAGCTGATGGTGCTTTCAAGATTCTTATTAAGACTTTATTGCTCCACTGCAACTCTTTACTGTTGTAAAAAACAAACAAACAAAAAACAACAACAACAAAAACTGATAAGATTATGGTTGGGAAGCCACATTTTTATATTTCTTCTAGAACTCCTAGGGAGGTGAGCGGGCAAAGGATCTCTGTCTTCTAAGGCACAGTTAAAACAACTAAAAATGTTTTTAGCGCATGAAAACAAAACATCATTTATTCACTCCAGAAATAATTGAGCACAGGAACTGTTTTGGTGCTAGGAAACATTGGTGAAGAAGGCCTAAGGACTTAGTTCTCCCTCTTTCATTCAAATGGAGGAAACCAGATTACCAAAAAAGAAAAAAAATGTAAACAAATTATTTAGAAGAAAAAATATCAAGTAGTGATTAATGCTCTACAGAGAATTAAGTGATTGGTAGCTACTGCAGTTTGGATGGTCAGGGAAGTCCTCTTGCAGAGTGACATTTAAATGACAAGAAGGAACCAGCTCTGAATATCAGAGGAAGAGCAATTCAGATAGAAGGATTAGCTAGTGTGAAGGCTCTGAACTGTGAAGGAAATTGGTAT